GATGTTTTCTTCCATAAGTTAGTATATCATATGCGATATAAAGAACATATAACAATCCCAGATAAAATTGGCCAACCCGGGACTATGAGAAAAAATGAGATGATTACTGAACAACCTACCTTATCTCATATATCGAGAACAGATCAACTAGTACTTGAGAGTTTTCTAAATACATGGAACAAGGCAGTCAGCTCACTATAAATATATCTTTATATCACCATCGTTTATACATTATTAATAATATTTTTTTTTCGTACATAAATAATATCCAAGTTTAAATAGATAGTTCCTAATACCTAGCCCACATATCCCGTAGCCGATCACTTTTCTTCTCAAATCCCCATGTACGTCTCAATACCACGAACCACATAACCGCAATAATCAACAAAGCAAGTAACATATATGCCACAATAGGGATTGCCCCTCTCCCGGGACCAGGTCCCATCTGGGTATTCGATTCAATCAAAGAGGACATATTATTTTCCCGTTGTGCAAGATGTGGAGACACATTCGACATTTCTTGGAGTATATTGTTGTTAGTTTTATCGCTTATATTAATATTGTCAGAAGCAACTATTTCACAGCTATTTTCAGTATCGACTTTTGGTAGTTTGGTATTCTCATCATCAATATGATCCAAGATATTACCATCAATTTTTCTAACTTGATCCATACTTTTTTTACGTATAAAATATTGACTGAGATTTTTGATAGGTTCACTAACTGCAGATGTATCGTCAGACTTGGTAATAATTTTTTCGTCATCCCCACCAACTATGGGTTTCGATATAGTCTCCGATTTCAGACACTCAAGCTCATTGACCTTCGATTCCAATTCGCTCTTTATATTTTCTAATTCAGCTATTTTGGATTTGAGGGATAATATCTCGGAATCTTTTTTTAGTGAGTCGTTTTGAATCGAAATCACGTCTTTCTGGGTTGAAGACAACTTACTTTCCAATATCTTGATTATAGACTCGAGTGATTTGATTTTCTTGGATTCTGTAACATTCTCAGCCTTGGATTCGGCAAGAGAAAGATCTTTATCAGTGATACGGGATTTGAGAGTATCTATCTTTGAGCGCAGTCGCTTAACCTCAACTATAAGCTGATATACATGCTTGGAGAGTTTCTCATTATTGCGACGTAATTGATCATTCTCCTTATTGGTATTTTTGCTATGATTCGAATATACCACTTGCATATTTTTATATTCACTAGTAATTTCGGAATTGGACTTGATACTATCACGTAATGCCTCCTCGAGTTCTTGTTCGCGGGCACTACCAAGCCTATACCCCTGCCCTTGTATTTTTTTGGATTCCATACTTTTGGTATCTCGCAATGTACGTACATTAGCCATATGATTTTTCCCATATATTCCAAAAAATAAATGCTAAGAAATAGATATATTACTAATATTATTGATATTATTGATATTATTGATATTATTGATATTATTGATATTATTGATATTACCAATATCACTGATATTACTGATAATTTTTTATATATTATTGATATTACTGATATTACCGATATTACCGATAATTTTTTTTATATATTATTGATATTACTGATATTACCGATATTACCGATATTACCGATAATTTTTTTTTATATATTATTGATATTACCAACCATGCGATCTGATGCAGTTAGACTATCACAAGAAGATTATGAATATATTATGCATTATAAAGATGCGAAATCCAAACCTCTAGATATGCTTAGAAAGAAATATCCTATGTCTTATACCCGTTTTTATAAGATATGGAAAGGGAAAGAGGTTTGTACAAATACTTGGAATTCATCTTTGGCCAATTCAGGAAACGATATTCCAATATCTGTAGTTGTGGGAGAGAAAAAAAAGAGGAAATCAAAATCCAAGTCTACTCACATTTCTGATCAGCCTCTTATTAATAAAGATCTAGATGCGGTAACATCCTCACTTTATGATACAGAAAAGATAGGCAGAATTTCGGAAGCAAAAAAAGAAACTATACTACCTACTACCTCGCAAGAGACTGAAGACGTTTTGGAATTACATGAGAGAAACCAAAAAGAGATAGAAAAGATTAGAGCAAGTGGTCGTACTCTTGCCTCTAAATTATCTGTTCCTTAGGCTCGTAAGTGAAAAATCAATGTTTTGTTTTATAGCGGAGTTAGTGACTCTGACACAAATCGTTATAATACCCAATTACTTCAGAAACTGATTGAATACTGGCGAATAATGCCTTTTCAAGTTCTTTTTCACGGTTTGACTTATTCTCGCAATTCACGCATTTTTTTTTAAAGTCGAATCGTCAGAATCTGGGATAAAACGCGCAGGAGCATGCCATTCCTCCAATGTTATATTGTCATCCTTATCACTATCCGTCTCTTGAGAAATTTGATCGGATACCAAAGACTTATCATTCTGAGATGCGGTAGCGCAATTTACTTCAAGATTATTTTTGACATTGTGCATAGTTACAGGAATAATATGATCCTTACCATTAAAAGGAATTTTTAACTCATCTTTGGCCCAATCTATAGCACATTTGTATTTCTTGAGAAGTGGATTCGAAAATATTAATGTTGGCTTTTTATATTTCACAACTACAAAATCTTCATATATAGTAAAACCTGGAGGAAATGTTATTGGTAAATTACGGATGACACCAATGGATTCAGTTGGAACTGTAGCAATACCACTGAGATCATATATCTCTGATTTATCAATCTTCCCGCCCACACGTTTAACAATGTCGTCTGTTACAATCGCGGGTTGGGCGGCCGAATCTAATGTCATTGCTGGAATTTTCAGACGTTTAATCTTACATGGTATAGTTGCGATAGTTGTAGTAGGTTCTTTCTTTATAACGAAGTCTATCTCCATAGGATCATCTAATGTTTCTTCTTCCTCTGAATCGGGTATTGCTGGAACTGGTTCTCGATAATCTCTAAAATTCGATTTTTTGATAGATGGGAGTATATCAGATGGGTTCTCAATCTTAGCTTTAAGTTTCTCAATCCAATCTATAGGTGCGATACCATCAAGCATATCTAGTATAACTCTTTGAAGTGATTTATCAATAACAGTTGATTTATTTCCAGACTTATTGCTTTGCAATGACTCTTTGAGTCTACCAGAAGCAGGAGTATTTTTTTGTTTTGTCTTGCGAGGTTTGGATTCCTTTTTGATTTTGGACTTCTTAGATTCGGGCTTTACTTGTTTTTTTTTGATTTAGAGACGTGTACATCAAAACTATGATCAGATTCAACTTCAGACGAGGAATCCCCAGAATCGGAGTTATTATCTGAAGAATCATTATTGGAAGAGTTTGTATCTGAACCCGAATCTACAGCAACCTTATTAACACTGCCTCTCTTTTTGGATCTACTCTTTCTATTTTTTCTGTTCCTTTTTCGAGGATATGGACACTTGCGAGAATTATGTCCAAGACTATAACAATTCGAACATCTATGCTGAGATGATACATTATTATCATGTACCGCTTTTATTCCCTGTGATATACCTTTGGCTATAGCCTTATTTATTGATAATTCTGCCATACCCTTAGTAATATCATCCATATCATCATTATTAGGAGTATCTTTTTTCTTCTTGGGTAGAAAAGAGGAAATTTTATCCATTACTTTTTCGTAAACATCTTTCGCTACAGATTCTATAACCTGATTAGATGTAGGAGTTGGGTTTATAAGATTCGCATGGATAAATTTTTCAGAATATACACCATATTCGTCTGGTGGTCTTTCTGGCATATATTTATCTGGTACTCTAGGGTAATCAATAGGATCAGATTGTTTCTGCTGAGACTGTAGAACTTGTGTTTTCTGAAATTGTGTAGGCTGAAGGGAAGTGGTGGGTACTACAGCTAATTCTGATTTTATCATGCTTTTTATTTCAGCTCGTATACTATCATTATCTGATTGTGATTTATTTTGTAATTGGTGTGAATTAGTTTCTAGCTGAGAAATTGTGGGTGGTACATTAATAGCTGAAACTTGATTGAAATTTGACCCCCCATACAGGTTTGGAGTACGTTCTAACCACATATTTTTTAATGCAATGAAAAATTCGTCAATACCTGCTGGAGCATCGGATCTCATCCAAGTAAAAAGCTCACCTGGTAATTGACTTTTAAGAAATCCCAAAACTTGAGCATCATCATTGGCCACACCTAACAAAAGAGGTCGAATTCTAGTTTCATAGGTATCTGGGGTATCAAAGGGTTGAAATCTTTCTTGAGTTAATCTTTGAATTGCAGATTGTTTAGTCCCAACTGTTTCTCGTTGATATTTTGTTCTTGCCCATGCTCGTAAAGTTGCTGGAGAATTAATAGCAGGATTACCATGAGTAAAGGGGTCATTAGCTGGTACTGGAGCATATTTTCCAGCCATCTTGGATTTTAAGATAGTACACTTAACTGCATCATCGAAATCTCCTGCATGTGCATTTTCAAGAACTGTCATATGTCCCTCAGCAAATGCCCATGATTGTACAACCTTATCCAAATAATCATCAGGTGGTTCTTGACCAATATAGGGTGGAAAGCTTGCAAGAGTGGGTTGTATTAATTTTAATACTGGTAAACGTCTATCATCTGCCATGTTTGGATTATTTATAGGTGGATTATTTTGTAAATGTAAAATTTGTCCACGTAAATTTAAAATTAATTGCTGATCATCATGTGTCTTATTTTTCCACTTTATATATCTATCATATATTTGATCACGCCAATATTCTAGCATAGCTCCATGATTATGACACCTTTGTAATTCTTGTTTTAACCGGTGGGTGGATACTTTATAAATAATTTCAAGAATACGTTTGAGTTTAGACTGATCCTCCCATACTAGGCTTGCATTATGCCACAATTGTCCACGCATATCATATTTTTGTTGTAATTCTCTACCATGTCTTTGACACCTCCGGAGTTTAAAATTAAGTGCAAGCTTATCAAGTAATAAAGTATTAATCCGCATCTGCATTCCCTTTTCCAATTGTTTAGCTACCCTCCACCAATGTCGACGTTCTTCCCGTTCATTATAATAAGCTGTAGTCATCAAAGCAAGATCATTCTGAGAATTGTTACGCTCTAGTGTAAGTTGGTTAACATGATTTTGTAAAGCATTATTTTGCTGTCTAAAATAATTGACATCTTGCTGTAATTGTACTATTTGAGCATCTCGAGCATCTCGTTGATTTGTAACATCATCCAAATCCTGGTCTATTCTTTGATAATTAGCCCGAATAGTATTTAAAGTACCGTACATACCTTGGATGATATTGGCAGGATTAATTAAAGGTGTACCCCCTGTGAAATGGTTTTCAAGTCGATTTAATCCTCTAGTGATATTTATAAAGGGGTCTATATGTGCCATATCTGTATCTTCCTCTTCTGAATTATATAAACTTGGAGAGCTTCTTCGAGAAGAAATAACTTTAAACCTATGCCTTAAATTTTGAACCCGCTCTTCTGATTCTTGTAATTGCTTCTCTATATTATCGGTATAGGATACCTTATCTCGGATTTCCTTTTTAGCTTGATATAAGCTTCTTTTAAGGGACGATATCTCCGATCTCAACTCCGCCTTTTCTTTCTCCGAAGCGTTCTCGAGCCGTTCCAGTTCTTTATTGAGAGATTGGATTTCTTTCTCACACCGGGTGTACTTACATTCCAGATCCTTTATATATTTCTCATTCGATTTGTTGATGGCTACCTCTGATTGCAATATCTCCTGGAGTTCTTGGTTAATTTGTTCTAGCTCGAGTTCTTTATCCGTAGCTGATCTATGAGTTGATTGATTAGGGGGTCGGGATCTATGGAATGCCATGGTTATTTTTTACGGCATATTATATCTTTCATAGAAAGGAGACTTTGTCTCTTGACTTATCTCTGACTTTGCTAAACATAATTTTTAGTATAATGAATAATATCGAAAATGAGTAAATTGAGCAAACCTATTATTAGAATCAATCCAGATGAGGAATTAAACTTAATATGTAAATTGCTTTTTTACCAATGTACTGGTTATCATTCCAATCCTCGAAAGTTATATAATGCTATCAGAGATAAAGGATATAATTTCCCGTATAAAAAAGTTCGTGAATGGTTGCATAATCAGAATGAATGGCAAAAATACGCTCCATCACCAAAAGATACTCCACGAGTTAGTTATGGTAAAATTCAAAAACCAAATTGTGTACATCAGTGCGACCTCCTATTTCTTACGCATGATCATTATAAAGGTAAAAAATGGGTAGCGGTGCTTAATATAATAGACGTGTCTAGCAGGTACAAAGAGAGCGTTCCTCTCACATCGAAGAAAAGTTCGGAGGTTGCAAAAGCATTCAGGAAAATTTATGATGATCCCAATAACCCTCTTACATACCCGACACTTCTACAATGTGACGGTGGTAAAGAATTCATTGGTGAAACTGCTCGATTAATGGAAACGCATAATGTCACAATTCGAGTAATTGGTGCTTATAGTCATCGTGGATTAGCTCTTGTAGAACGATTCAATAAGACGTTAGCAGAGATGCTTTATAAAATCCAGTACGCCGTTGAATCAATATCTAAAAATCCTAAATTAATAAGTGAATGGGTTAAGTATTTACCAGAAGTTATTAATTACCTAAATAATTATCCAACGCGTCTTATTAGAGCTCCTGGGTCGAAGAAATGGGGATTAGCACCTATAAAAGCAATTAAGTTAGAAAAGGTTGAATCTCGGCCATCCACAAAATATAAACGTCCTGTTGGGAAAAATGAGGAGAATAAGTTAAAGAAGGGTGATAGTGTTCGTTATCTGCTTGCTAATGCGGAATGGGAAGGAGGTATGGAAAATCAGAAAAGAGCCACGGATCCCACATTCAGTCCAAGCATTCATAAAATTCGAAAAATTGTGGTAACGAAGAACGAACCAGTTTTATATTATCTTGGGAGCGATGACGATGAATATCCTCCAAAGCGAGGATTTGTACGTGAAGAACTCATGCACGTGAATATTGATACGCTTCAGTATCCACCCCAGAGTATATTGGAAGAAAACACTCACTCCAGATCTGTTAATATCGTTCGTGTTATTAATAAAATGACTAAAGCGCAACAATATGTCAGGAAGCGTGGTGGACATTGTATTATGAAAACTGACCAAATAAATGATTTTGATGTATATCTCTGGTCCTGTGAAAACGGAAAGCATCAGTGGGAATATCCATATCCATTAATAGCTACGAAATTTGAATGGTGTCCACTTTGCTTCCATCACGCCGATGAACGTCGCTGTAGATATATTTTCGAAGACCTGTTAGGTAAGAAATTTCCATCTTGTAAACTGGCATTTTTGAATGGGATGCAATTAGACGGGTATAATGAAGAGCTAAAATTGGCATACGAATTTCAGGGAATCCAACACTACAGTCTTGATTCAATGTTCCATAAGAGAGGACAAATTGATCTGGATGAACAAAAAGTACGTGACGAAAAAAAGCGGGAGATATGTCAAAGAGAAGGTATAGATCTCGTTGAAATTAGCTATGATGCAGATTTATATGAATTTATTAAAAATATACTCATTGAAAAAGGTTATTTATCGCATAAAGAATAATCTCATAAGATAGCGGAGCTAGTATCTAAAGATACATAAGTATGACATATAATAAACTATTGCAAAGCAGGCCGTTACCGCAGAGCAATGACCCTTTGGGTCTAGGCGATGAATCGGAGATTTGAGACTCTGTCTCTTCTTCGAATCATGACCCTTTAGGCCTTCATCCACTTGCCTTGCCTGAACTTTTAACTGAAATTTTATCATATCTTGCTGAAGATAAAACATTTATACCCGACTTTATTTGTTAACCGGTTGTGGTATTTATGTTCTGCCCCAATATTATGGAGAAGAGTCGAATTCGTTGACAATGGTTACAAAAAAAATCCTAGCTACTGGGAAAAATTCAAAGAAGTGATACATACACAAAAACCTCTCCATATTTCAAAATTAATCGATATTTGCATTTCTAGATGTAAAGTCTCTAGTGGAACCTTATATCGGATTAGAGGACTGTGTCCGAACCTGCGTCACTTAACTATAAGCAACTGCCATGGATTTTCTAGCAAAACAATTGGAAAAATCATATATCCGAACTTACTATTTCTTAAATTTTACAATAATGCAATTAAGGCCTCTAAGCCTCATCATATCAAGGATAAAACAATTTGTGGGATCGCATCATTATGTCCAAATTTAACTTATCTTTATTTGGGATATAGTAATAATATTTCAGATATCTCAGTAATCGAAATTGCTAAGTCGTGTAAAAAAATAGAGTATATTAATATAGGTGGTTCGGGTATTACCGATGTATCATTAAAAGAAATCGCTCACTTATGTCCAAACCTCCGACATCTTCACCTGAGTAATTGTGAGAAGATAACAGATGATGGTATTTGCGCTATAGCTATTTCACATCCAAATATGCTTAGTTTTTCTTTTGCTGATGAAGAAGGTAAATTCGATATGGATAATATAGCTGTTTCTGATACGTCCGTGAGAATAATTGCAGACTCGTGCCCTAAACTTCAATATCTCAATGTATCTTGGCGTCATATATCTGATGAATCTATTTGTGTAATAGCACAATTGTGTCCAGAACTTGAACAGCTTTATCTTGAAGGGTGTGATATTACTGATAAATCTATGTCCGCATTAGCAAATTTGTGTAATCTCCAGAAGCTTGTTATTGCTGATTGCGATGAAATCAGCATGAATGCAATTATAACCTTACAGAATAAAAATCCCACTCTCAATATTTTCGGTTGGTATTCAGATACGAATAGTGAGTCAGATACAGATGGTGTAATACAAGTTCGAATCTATGATTTATCAGAATAAAAAAATCCAGTGAATATGTATATATCACAATAAAGATCATTATTTTTCGATATAATAATTTAGCATTACTTAGCTTAATCGGGATGAAAATAGAAAGCTGATCCGGTCGAGAAATTTGTACTCAATATCGACGAATACGTTAATCCGGAAAGATTAACTCATTAAATAGCACACCCCAATGGCCTTTCACACTTATAATCTCTGGTCGAACTAATACAGGAAAATCTACTGAAGTTGTTCGTCTTTTGGGCGGAAATAAACTACATAGAATGTTTAATGGTAAACAAGGAGGCACTAGATATATTAAGTGTGATGATGTCGTGCTTATTGGTCACTATCTCAAGAAGCCAAAATACATGTACCTTAAATCAGTTTTCCAAATAATTGCAAATAGTCCAGAGTCATATTGTGAAGATATTACATTTCGGGCTATGAAACCAGATAAAATTCCAAAGCTAGATTCATTCTCACCAGAAAAGAGGTACAGTGGTTATATTTGAGGATGTATGCACTGAACCAAAGAAAATTCAAGAAAAGATTATACCTTATTTTACAGAGGGGCGCCATTCCAATGTTTCTTCGATATATGTCTCACAAAGCTATTTTGACTGTCCAAAACTAATAAGAAAAAACTTAAAATATGTTGTATTGTTCAACGGCTTTTGTACCTCAGATTAGTTAAGTAGAATACTTCGTTTATATGTTAATGACTGGTGCAGTGTCTATAAAATTGTTAATAAGCATTTATGTGAACAAAAATTTATTGTCTTCGATTTAAGTGTACCTCCAGAACACCCGCATAGAATACGTGTCGGCTGGGATATGCCAATTAGTCAACTTGATGAATAGAGCGTGACTTCAGATATGCGAGACATTTTTCTGTCTCTTGTAATTGTATCTTTTGTTGTTCGATTTCACATCGCAATTTTTTATTTTCATTAACCCGCTTTCCATACTCTATAGTAATTTCTCGCATAAATTTACCAAAAGTTTTTTCATTATATTCCATTAATCTCTGAAATAAAATATCGACCTCTTTCTTAACCTGGCGATTGATTTCTTCCTTACTTGCAAAGCAAGGGCACTTATGTACCTGATCACATGTACAAATCGGAATAGTATCTTGGGTTTGGGATTCTTGGTTAGTCATTTCTGTGTTATATACACGTGATAAATTTTCAAGTGGTGATGAACTTCGACGTTGGCGTTCTTTTTTTCTATTATAAACTATAATTTCATGTTGCAAAAAATCTTCAATAGCTGGATCTATACCACATGCTTCTAGTAGTGTAAAAGGATTGCGTTTTCGAGTAGTAAGGCGTCTCCATGCTTCTTCCACTAATGAGGGAGGTAGTTGCTGTATCAGATATGTATATGCTTGATTGAATTTCATTTGTATATACCCCGGAAAAAATTCTGTTGAATTCTATAGAATTTGAAAAAAAATGTAAAGTAGTTAAAAATTCAACCGTTAATCGCATATTGACAACACACCATTATTATATAATCATTAGTATAATGATAACAAACAAAAAATAGCCTTTAACCATCACGAAACAGCAATAAATAAAAGTTTAAAGTACTAACCCTCAAGAATACTTTAGATGTGTATAATAATTAATATATTTACGCTTCTATTTCTAAAAGTCGCTTTTGGAATCTAGTCCACAATTGACTCTTTTTAGAATCTATCCAATTATATGGAATATAATATTCTTCATATTGTCTATTAATAATGGAACTGCGCATCATGGGATCGTTTTTATATAATTCAATCCATTTAGTACGCCACTGATTAAATTGTTCTCGAGTCTGAGGATTTTTTATTTTATGTTGAGTTAAACCTAAAAATTTCTTATCATCTGGAGTATTATCATTCGGTAAGCTATTCCATGCAAGCTGTGCATTCGATGGCTCTTTCTCTTGAAATCGTCTCCAAGCTCTTTGAATAATCCTTGCATGTCCATCTCAAGATTTAGGTTTATCACACTCATGATCCCAATGTTTCTGCATCAAATCATCTGGCTTGATAATTTCGATATACCTTTTTCTGGTAAAATAGAATGATTTCTTTGGTTTTACATTATCAATATGAATAAGTTTCATACAATCTAGACATATCGCTACATTGGCTTTATGGATTCTAGGCCTGTAGTAATCATGATTAATTGGCTTAGAATTTCCAAATCCCCCAAATAAACAATGTACATGATATACACTTCTTTTCTTTTCAGAAACCAGCTCTTGTAGAGGAATTCTGACCCGAATAGCCCATTGTTGTGGAGTTTCATTGGGTCGAATAACTGATAAAGTATCATATTGTCTTTCAGTCTCATAAAGATCATCAAAGTATCGTTGATAATCATTAATTCCACAATAATTGTAGATATATGACTCTACATATTTCATATCATATCCAGGACAATTATTAATGAGCTTCACCAATTTGGCTTTTTTATCAATAATAGTTGTAATAGTAAGACCTGACATAATTGGTGATTTATATCGAATTTAGGGATTTGCTGAAAGCAGTCACTTCGTGGCTAGACCTATTAGATTTGGTTCTTTATAGTATAAGAATATATGATTCAATTTTAATGAGATTGGATTGTTAGACTATTTCTTAGATCTAGATAAGAACGCTTGAAATAATAGAGAGATGTTTACAATCGTGATATTCTATGAAATGAAAATGGGCATTAACAATCTTGTAAATAAAACAAATTTTTTAATTGTTACTCAATGGATGAAACATACTCGTGATTCAAAAATGATTCTATTAAG